TTAACCTCAGCAACTATTTGTTTTTTTTTTTTTTTCCGGTCTGTTCATTTGTTTTTCAGAATAGAGGGAAACAAAGGGTTTTGTTATTTGCTTTTTCGCTGCCCAAGGCAAATACAAAGTTGTCAACCTAGACATCTTAGATTTAGATAAGGTTTTAACTTTGGAATTTCAAGTTATACTTAGAAATTAATTTTAATATTTTTGGCCAATCTATTTTTTCTAGGAAAACAATGTTCTGAGGAGGGAAAACAAAGGTTTTAAATAATTGAAGATATATTCATTCTTGACTTTTATAGATGACAGGGTTTTTCTTCCATATCTGTGATTCGGCCTAAGTATGCCCCCAAATTCCAACAGCAAGTTGCTAGACTCCTAAATGTTAAAGAGTTTAGTATTACATCACTTTAGGTTTATACACACAGCTATTTCCCCTGGGTAACCACATGTTATTATCGGGGCTAGATCCAGGTGGGTTTCTGTATCAGATGCTACACTATAACTAGACCAGAACTCCACTCTGCTCTGACCTCAGGCTCTGTTCTTGGATCTGGTTTCCTATAGCTTAGAATAAAGCCTCAAATCCTCAAAATGGCAGAGTCCTAACTGATTTGGCTCCTAAATAACTTTCACAGCCTCTATATTCACATGCCATTCTCCCAAATCACCACCTCAGCTTCTTTCAATTCCTGGAAAACTGCTATCCTCTTTTACACCTTAGAATCTTAGCATAGGCTGTTCTCTCTGTTGAGAATACTCTTGTCCATTCTGTTCACCTACATAACTCCTAGCTTTCTTTCCTGTATCAGGTTAAATATCACTTCCTCAGGAAGTCTTTCTTGATCCCCAAGGACCTGCTAAAATGTTCTCAGGGTTCCTGTGACTTTTTCTTATAGACTTCATCACAACTGTGATTGTTTCTTCATTTCTTTAATGTGAATATTCCTGACTGGAATATAAGCTATACGAGACAGGGGGCCATAATCTTTGTAGTATATCACTGTGTCCCCAGTGTCTACTGTAGAATTTGGCACTGTAGCCAGGCACTTAAAAAAATGGTTGTTTCATTATTCTAAATAGTCTTATAATCTAAATCCGAATGTAGACAAATCTCATCTCTCTGGCTCCTCCATCCCTTATTTTATTTTATTTACTTATTTATTTATTTATTTGAGATAGAGTCTCACTATGTCGCCCTCAGTAGAGTGCCGTAGCATCCCAGCTCACAGCAACATCAAACTCTTGGGTTTAAGTGATTCTCTTGCCTCAGCCTCCCAAGTAGCTGGGACTACAGGCACCTATCACAACACCTAGCTATTTTTCTGTCACAGTTGTCATTGTTGCTTAGCTGGCCCGGGCTGGGTTCGAACCTGCCAGCCTCAGTGTATGTGGCCAGCACTGTAACCACTGTGCTACAGGTGCTGAGCCTGCACTCAGTTTTATTAATGTTGTTATCCTTTGGGGAAAATATCCTTTTTCTGTGGTTTATAAAATGCCAACAATGTATGGAAGCCCACCAATTTATAAAAGTGTGTGTTATAAAGTCAAAAACTAATGTACTAAAATAGATACTTGTATTTTCAATCATAAAGGTTAATTTTTTTTTTTTTTTTTGAGACAGAGTTTATGTCGCCCTCAGCAGAGTACCATGACATCACAGTTTACAGCAACCTTAAATTCTCGGGCTTAAGCGATTCTCTTGCCTCAGCCTTCCAAGTAGCTGGGACTACAGGCACTGGCCACAATACCTGGCTATTTTTCTGTTGCAGTTGTCATTGTTGCTTAGCTGGCCCGGGTCAGGTTTAAACCTGCTAGCCTAGGTATATGTGGCCAGTGCAACAGCCAATGTGCTATGGGTGCCGAGCCCATAAATGTAATTTAAAAAAAATTATTAAATAAGCATTCAAATAGTTTGGTACATTCAGAGCTAAGAGAAGTTTCCTAAAGAAACAAACAAAGAACTCAATAAAATAGTTGATTATATATGCTAATAACATAGATACTCAGATTATTCTCTTAATTTTATTTTATTTATTTTTATTTTATTTTATTTTTTTGGCCAGAGCTGGGTTTGAATCTACCACCTCCAGCATATGGGGCCGGTGCCCTACCCTTTTGAGCCACAGGTGCCGCCCTATGATCTGAATGCTAAATAGTTTCCATATAAAATCTACTTTGGTAACTCAACACATTAAAATATACAAATTTAAAATGTATTATCTTAGGGCGATGCCTATAGCTCAAAAGGGTAGAGCATCAGCCCCATATGCTGGAGGTGGTGGGTTCAATC